TTTCCAAAGCCAATCAGGCTACCAAGAGAAGCAGCAGGACAGTGCAGTAGTGCTGCGTTAGCTGCCTTGTAATTCCCATAGTATTTGACTCATCTAAGCATTTTAGGTTCCTGCACTGGAATTTTTCTAATTTAATTAACTCATTAATGCTAGCACATGGCACATTCCTCCCTGCAAGAACGCAGCTCGCTTATCTCAGTAACAGCCAGATCCCGTGGGTGTGAACGTCCAGGGCTCACGTTGGTGCTACCAAAGCACTGACCGGCCTGAGCAAATACCTGCGCGTCCGAGGCCCCTTGTGCAGCCCGGCTGCGCGYGATGCACAACACAACTCGCTTTCAAACTGCATAAACACCCATGTCGCTGCAGCTTCCTATGTCCCCAGCGTTGCTGTTGGAACATCAGCTCTCAAGAGGATTTTGGAATTGTTTCTTTTTTTTTTTTTTTTTTTCCATTTCGTTGCCGAAGGTCGTGAGCAGGCTGAATACCAGGAGAGGGAGAGCTGAGGGTGTGGTAGCGAAACTGCTTTCGTGGCTCGGTTTTAATCAGCAGGCAGAGTTTTCTCATCCTTTGCAAAGGTGGGGTTTTGTGCGGGAACTGCTCCCAGGGCTTTACTGCTGTGCTGTTCGAAAAGACAAGAAATACTCAAACTACTTGGTGCATAACTAGGATTTCTGACTGACTCGGGCCCAGGAAGACTTCGATGCATCACTGATAGATTTACTGCACAGAATTACTACATGTATTTGCTACAGAATTAGRGATTCCCTAATTCGGGAGTGTTTTCTTTCCCATTTGGAGAAGGACCAGATAGTTTATGCAGTACTTAAAGCTTTTTCCACTCGTTTGCTTACCGTGGCCACAGCAAAACCAAGCACGTAGGCCTTGGTGTTGGTGTTGCCATGGCAAACGYGGCTCCGTAATGGCGGACGCGAGATAAGGAGGGAGGGACGTTTAAAATTGGGTTCTCCAGAAACTGAATCACTGCACAGATCAATAGACACATGCAGTCTTCCACCTTCTAAATAAAATTTGCATGGATAAAAGGTTTTACTTCCTTGTAAGTGCTAGCCGGCCTCTGCGAGTGGCGCTGTGTTATTTTCCTTTCCTCCCTGAGGGCTGATACCACTTGGGTGTCTCACCTTCACTTCTAATGTACAGCTTTCAAACCTGTGGAATTGTCCAAGTAGGAAGAAGTGTTTAATTGTGGTCTCTGTGAAGCCTTGGCCTCAGTGCAATGCCTAAAAGTGTGATGTTCTCATCAGAAACCCTGCCCTCGCGTTAACACCACGAAGGACAAGCAGGCTGTGGGGCGACGAGCGCTGCTGCCCTGCACGTGTTTTGCTGTGTCGCTGGTAAGATGTGTTGAGCTGAGGGCGGAGAAGCCGGTTCTCTGGCTGCTTTGCATCTATTCTGAATGTATATAAATTATTTTATAATTTATATTTACATAAAGACATTATTTTCCGGAGGTGTCATTTTTGTTACCTCTTGTAACTGCTAAATCCAAAAACTGCTAATTTCAAAGGGAGAAAAATAAATACAACTTATTTCCTGTTATGAGAAGATTTACTATGTACTAGTCCCCAGCTGGCATGTGTTGGCACGGCTCTTGAAGTGCAACTGCACAGCTTCAGACTGCCTGAAAATACCTTGGATGCTTATCTAAGGAATATAATGTGATACTTTTTATCTGCAAAAGGAATATACATCAATCATACTCTGTTACTTCTAGAAACGAAGAAGGGATAATCCAAGAAGTTTCTTTCATGGGTTATAGACAGTGCTTTTCTATGTTAATCACAGAATTTCTTCAGGGCATAGTTTCAGAGCCGTCTCCTGAAGTAATGAACACCATTGTATTGAGTACTAAAATTACTGCATTTTAAGATCGTGCTGATGCCTCCGGCTTGTTGGCTGTATGAGCGGCGAGGGAGTACCATARAGGAGCGAGGTGCCCCTTTGGCCTCCCCCCAAGACTTTCTTCCAAGTACTAGAAAGCTTTCTTCCCTGAGTTCAATGAAAAACTATTAAGACTCGAGGCAGACATCTGGGACCTGCTTTCTTTCAGCCTGTAGCTCATGACACAGGTGGCTCTGTAGGCCTTTCCTGAAGAGCTCTGCCGGGGCACTGCACAGAGCAGTGTAAGATGTGGCCATGAACACTGAGCCGCACACAGAGGTGAGCGAGGCATGAGTGAAGCACCAGAAACAGGAGGGACTTTGCAGCAGATGTTCACAAGTCAACCGAGCTAAATGGAAGGTCARGTGTGAATGCTGCTTGTGGGACTCTCCTGTTGAGAGAAATGAGCTAGTACGTTGGTCAAAGAAACATTATACATTTCTATCCTGATCTCTTGGTAACACAGCAACAGTATTTCTGATGATTGGGCAAACTGATTCTTGGCACTTCTGCATTTTAGGACTGCTCCTCCTGGACAGCCATCATCCTGTGCTGAGCTCTCTAGCAGAGGTGCAAGCTCTTTTTTGGATTATGTTGGTTGGTCTGTAGATTTCTCAGAGGACGGTGGTTTTACCAGAGAGGGTCATTTTTCTGTGGTGCCAGAAGCTTGCTGCGCAGATACGGCCATCCACACTGGAAAGCTTTTTTCTATATTAAGTGCTACATCAGTGTAATGATCAGTTTTCTTTGAAATCATTCATTGTAATGATCGGTTTTCTCTGAAGACCTCTGAGTTGGGTGTTTTGAGGCACCGGTACGTGTTGATACATGGGATGTGTTGTTCTGTCTTTGATAAATACCTTTGATTCAAACTTTTAACTGGGTGGAACCTTAGGCTGTTAACTCTTTGGGGAGCGATCCTTCGTGGCCCATGAGTAGTGTTTAAGTAGGGCTATGTGATAAAGGCACTTCTTGTGCCAAAGGCAGCACAGCATCTAAACTACAGGAACAATAATCCTTAAGTAAACTAGAATTTGGGTTTTTTTTCCCCAAATATCTGGAGAGACTTCAGGTGCTTACTCATGTTAAATGCTTGACCTTCTATGGGTTAACTGCTCCGACAGCAGCTCTCAGTAGCGCCCTGCGAGGACCTGCTGCGCTCGCTGCTTGCTGGAGCTGCCTCTGTGGAAGCAACGCCCCCCAGCCACGATGAGGGCTGCAAGGACAGTGCAGAGGCTACCTAAACTCCTTCGCTTGCTCATTCCTGGCACCCTCGCGAGAACAGAGTAATAAATTGCCCGTGTGCTTGTTAAAATCTGGCAGAGTCTGTCTTTGGAGACATGAGAGCTGCTCAGGAAACAGSAGCATTTATGTGATACAGCTCCACTTCCGTGGCCTCTAAGTTAAACAATGCTCGAAGCTTCAGTCCGACAGCAAGAAGATAACCCTGCAAAACAAACAAATAAAAAGATCCAGAGGAAAAACTGAGATTTTTTTCCACCAGGGTATGTGTTGTTTAGACTTAGGTGTATAGAGGCTAATTTATTTGCGTTTGGAGAAAAAACACAAGTTTTTCTGGTTGGTTCTCCACAAGTGTAAACCAAAAGGACCAAACAAGTGTAGAGAGACCAGGTACTAATTTAATAGATGCCTCGAGTTAACCTTGGAGCAGCTCAGTAGCTGTCCAGTTCTGGCTTTCCCATGGATAAGGTTTTACTAGAAAATTCCTGGAGCCTCCGCGTCCCTGTGGCAGACCATTCTGGGGCAATTTGGGGAAAAACTGGAGCATCATCTTGATAATCTTCATACTGCTGCAGTAACAGACGGGCTCCTTCACAAGTGCGTGAGAAGTCAAGTGTGTCCACAGGCACACGAGCACATCTGGGAGCATAGACAAGTTTGTGTTGAAGATGCCAGGTGTGGTACCCTACAGCCAAACGCAAGCACAGCTTGTGWTTGCAAGTGCAGGGGCTGTTCACAGCAAGCACGAGGGATAAGAAGCATTTAGACAGGTTTGCCTCTTGCTGGGACTTAATTTTCAGTCAAATGCAATGGATTACTGTAGGCTGAGTAGCACTAATGAGTATCACAGCCTTGCTGGGTTTGTGTTTCCAAGAAGGCTTCTACAACTGGTCTGGACTAAAAATAGTGGACAAACTTGCAGTTTTTTTTGCAGTGGAAGTTCATTGTCCTTAGAGTTAGCCCAGATGAGCAGCTATAGGATGTTGTCTCCTGATACAGTAAATTGTAGTTGCTATGAGCTTCAGGAAAAATCCTGTATTAGGTTCTACATCCATGGATATGTCAGCTGCTAGGTTCTGATCGCTACTTCTGCCTTGTAATGTCAAATAACTTCAGTGACTTTGCCTGTGCTCCGGAGTCAGGCAGGACAAGTGTTACATTCTTAACATGCCAGTTAAAATGCTAAATTATGTCCATCACCAGGAACTGTTACTTGTAAATTATGGCATGATTTTCCAGAAAATATCATCCAGGGATAGCCAAACCCTACGAAACTGTAAAGATTAATTCCTTCCATTATAGATTTACTAGGTGAAATTCCCCGGCCGCTCTGTTGAGGCAGTAAGACTTTCTGATTATCGCAGCACAATCTCTGACCTTAAAAATGCAAGAAAAGTGCTGAGGGCATTTGTGTCTCATTAAGGATAATGGGAGTTGAAAGCTTTTAGAACTTCTCAGGATTAGGTCCAAAATTGGTGCATCCTGGTAGCCGCGCAGATGTGCCAACGAGGACAGCGTACGGAGGGGCACAATTAAAATGAAAGGAGCTTCCCCTCCTGGCCCCAGGTAGTTCATTGCCTCTGCAAACCTGTCTCCCGGCTTTGTTAGAAAAGAGTCAGGGGTTTATTTATTTACTTATTATTGTTCATGTTGTTATTTTTTAAAGTGACCCAAATAGATTTCTGTCTGGACAGTTCAGCTCTTTTGGCAGAGAAAACTTGTTCCTGGAATGCAGCCTACCAGAGATGCAAAGTCATTAACTGCTGGGTTATTACAAAGTTAATGATGAAAGACAGAGACTGTTAAGTAGGATATTGAAATGTGCATTTATTTATTTATTTATTTATTTATTTCAGTGATGCTGGAAACAGTCTGACGTCTCTAGTAGATCACAAGGAAAACAAGTAACTTCAGCTATGGAGAGGAAAAGGCAGCTACAGAAAAGGGAGCTTGGGAAAAGACTTTCTCTGGACAGCAGTCTCGTGGTAAGAATAAGTATTTATTTACTGACTCTGTCTTCTGTTGTAAATGTGTAATTGTAAAGAAGCAGTACTTGTAATGATGTCTGTTTTAAATGTGTTTGTCTAGTCATCGCAATAGCACAGCCTTCAGTGATTTTTAAGATTCCTCAAAGCCACGTTGCTSGTGGAATTGTGTATCCTATATAGAACATGTTATCCTATGGAAACATGTCACTGGTTGTAGTGGGTTTGCACAAGGACTGAATCCAGGCAAAAGCACCACATATGTAATTAAAATCCTACCTAAGCTCTCCAGGATCACTCTGCGTGGTGTTGGACTTGGTGCATGAAAGCTGTGGGTAGCTCTGGGGTCATCTAATCAGAAATGCTGGTCTTTTCTGGAGAATATGAGTGAAAACTTGGTGATCCACTGTGGTAAAGTATATAAACTGCTGTATTATTATCTGAAAGAGAAATATAAATGGCACATACTGTCAAATAACTGTTTTTTTCTGTGTGTAGAATTTGAATTTATTGGGTTCATATTCTAGATTTACTTTTAGTTAATGTTTTCAAATGATAGCAGAGAATAACAAGGATTTTTTATAGCTGTACTGTGGGTACGTGACTGGAAACTGCTCGCAGATATTGAACTGTTGCATAAAATAGTAAACATGATGATGTCAAGTAATCAGCACGGTCGCATGACTGGTGATGGAACCAATACTGAAAAAGCAAAGCTGAGAGAGATGGTGAAACCCATTTGTGTTGCTTTGACTTTTATAGGGTCTGTCTCCTGGGGAGGAAGCTTCTTGCTGCGCTTTGGTAATAAAGCTGCCTTTTGTTGTTGTTTTGGTTTTTAACTGCTCATKCTGCTGAGTGTGGTGCTGGGAAGTGCTGGGAGCAGGTGGATTTGGCTTTGGGCAGGGGGCAGAGCTGAGTTTTTAGTGGTCACTCCTAGCCACCCGTTCACCCCAGAGCCCCAAGCCCTCAAATGCAGCTTTGCTCCATGAACTGCACTTGGTCACTCGCGAGTCACGAGCACCACAGAGCGCTGCAGGGGAGCAGGGCAGCCCTCCCCAGCGTGCAAGGACATTTGCAACCCCCGCCGCAAGGCTCCGTTGCGTGGGAGCGTGGGCAGGGAGGGCAGAGAGGTGCCTTCAGCTCCCAGTTTACCTTGTGCTCCGAGGCCGAGCGCGTCGCCCRTGGGATGGTGCGTGTCCGGCATGGAGGCGCCCAGTCCCGGGAGCGGCCCGGGCACAAACCTTGCGCTTGTAACGTGACTTCCAAACAAGCCGGCCGCCRGCCAGCAGCACCTACACAGTGAAACTGAAACACGCGTGGAAACCGGGAGCTGAAAGCCTAGGGARCAGCAGCGACTGTGAACTTTGTGCCAAGACGTGGCCGAGTGTGGAGATTAGCTCCTTTGCCCTGAGTGTTTACGCAGTGCACGGGGCTCAGCCTTGGCTGGATGCGAGCAGGTACAAATTTTCTTTTCCCTGGTGTGGCAGCCCTGGGCTGCTTCCTCCCTGCCCCTCAGCGGCTGCTGTGTGGGGCCAGGACTGTGCCCAGGTGAGGAGCAGAGGCACCAGCTCGAGTCAGGAGACTTCGTGTTGGGTGGCATTTGGGTAACTTTGTTAAAGCGCGCCATCCACAGATTTAATTGGCAGCATCTGAGCCCTGTTTGTTGCTAGCTGCCAACTATTATTTCTTAACAAATCGGCAGAGATGTTGTGAGAACCAAGTGCCTTCAGCTGCCTTAAACTGTGCRGGATGGCCTGGAACTACCAAAGCTCAACCTGGCAGAGCAGAGGTCTTGGTGTCCCGTTGTCTTCCCCAAACCCCTGCTCCATCCTGTTGCTGTTGGGGGCCTCTTAGTTACGGCCTTCTTACCATGACTGCCTCTGGTTTCCCTTTTGCTCTCTGCGTTGCGGATCACGTCTGAGCGCTGTTGTGTCTCCCTGCACTGCCCGCCGAGGTCCTTGCTTTCCTCCTCCTGAACTCTTCCCATAGGTGTTGGTGGCTGGAAACATTGCTTGGAAAAGTTAACCCCAATTTCCTTTAAAACAGCATTTTCTCCTTGYCTGCCGAAGGCTCCCAGTGTTACTGTAGCCTAGAGGGAACTCAGAGTTCTCTGCATCTAAAGGAGATGTTTCAATTATTTCATTCTGGACCAAGAGATACAAAAGGGGTTTATGATGATATTCCTAGCACAGCCTGGCTCTGCTCCTTTTCCCATCTGCTTCAGATTGTGATCTTCTCATGGAATGTGTTTTCCATGATTTAGTCTACAAGTATGACTTGGTGATATTTAAAACCAAAAAATTCTCTCTGCCTCCCTTATCTCCTCGCCTCTGAATACATAGGCTATGATGCAATGGGAGGGAAGAGGGAGAAGAGGAAAGAGATGTTTCTAAACCAACAGAAGGCTTCAAACTCCTTAGGATATCTATCTCAGTCTTCAGAACATGGATAGGAATTTCATTAGGATTTGTTGTTTCCAGGCTTATCCCTTAACACTGAGTTCCACCCTCCGAGTGATGTGGACCAGCTTTAAAACAAGGTCCTTCAAACAACCTGTCAGTAAGAAATTACATAGGCACAAAACAATGTTCTTTCCAGGCACAGTCGCTGCTCTTTGGATACCTCGGATAAAGGGAAAGAGTCCAGTGTTGTTTCATATGCTGGGGTGCCTTGGGAAATAAGCTTTACAGTGACAGCAGATAAACCTTTTAAAAGTCTTTTTTCTTTTTAAATGCAAGTACACAAACATGTTCGTAGAATGTACTTCATAGAACATATTTTTTTAATGAGTGATGATGGGTTTAATGGATATTTTAATCAATACATTCCTGGGAGTTAATAGTTTTAAGCCCTGTACTTTAACAAGATCCAGAATTTTATTTTTCTTAAATGTCAGATAATCCAACAAGGGAATCGATGTAATTCAATAATTCAAGTCAAAGGGGAGTCTTTCTGTTAGCCTCGATGGAATTAGATCCCCGTGGGCTTTTAGTGAGAAGATCATAGCTATTATTCCCTAAACCTCTGGCATAGCCAATGTCTGTTATTGCTCTGGAGGTTTTCCATGTGATCTTGGCAGCAACTTGGAGAATTTTTATATGCCAAAGTGCTCATCTTTATTTGAAGACAAGGCAGTCATGCCTGCAGTGACAGAGGTGTTTTATAGTTTAATGCTTGGGTGAAACAATTATGAAATATTAAGCTCATACCAATTCTACAGGTAGTCCTGTGGGATCAGTTATAGAAAGTAATATCCCTGTCATTTCTGCCTGATGTTTAAAAACTAAAATGTACCACACGTCAAGGATATACTTTCTGTGGTTTTAAAATAACTTTGTAATACCTTGTTGTTTCATCTTTGGTTAAATCTGTGGCTAGTTTATTCTGACTTTATAGAGTCTTTCTCTGCATATTAATTTTAAGCATGATAACATAACTCTCAAAATCAAATTGCCTTGAGKTAGGAAGACTGTAATTATTTTATATCTTCTAAATAACACATCATGTATTATGCCATTAGTAGAGAACTTTTGTTGTGTATATGGGTTGGTTATAAGGTGAATAGACAGAGGACACTCAGAGAACAAGATGTCTTTCTGGGTTGCTCTGTGTGTGTAATGGAACGGGGGTCAAAGCCACTGCTGGGATTACTGGAGCACTTCCCTTCTGAGCTGAAACACAGTGCAAAACTGGTCATCTTGATAGAACATATTTATTTGCAATWCATTGCTTAGGTGTCACCTACCCCTCTGTAAGATGGTTTTTTGTCTAAGATGTGATAAAAAAGAAACAGGACTTTTTGAAGAACCTCTTATCTCATGATTAGCTTAAATCCTGCAGGTTATATTAAAAAAGTAGTCTTCAAAGTGAAATAGTGTGAATACTTCATGATTTTCCAAATGTTTATGAATGTTATTTCCATGATAGGGCCTTTACTTCAGCATGTGTAGTCAAAAAGAGCTAGTGAATGAAGCTATAGATGAAAACAAGGTAGAAATGGATTTTTCTGCGTTCTTCCCACTTCAGCCTAAAGTAAAAAAAAAAAGTGACATGTAGAAAAATACATCTAATGTTCTTTAAAAATTGTTTTTAATAAAATTGAGGCACTTAGTTCCTTCGTGCTGTTTTAACAAAGACATTTTGTGATGTGACAGAGCTTCTCTGTAATTGTTAGCGTTTATTATTTGGCATGTGTGGAGGTGGAAGGTTGGGCAGGTAGTGCTATTAAAAACAGCTAATGAGGGGTTTGATTGTATTTCAGTTTTTCCTTGAAATTCTGCAGCAAAATGAGAAACAAAATAACTCCCAAGCAGACCTCAAACCCAGTCTTTCAAGCGACTTGTGAGGGCTGGGGCGGGTGGCAGAGCGTCCCCTGCCACCAGGGCCACACGGGCTGCTCTATTCACTGCGGTGCCCTTTGAAAGCAAAGAAAGCCCCGTCCTCGGCCTCATCCAAACCGTCCAGTTGCCTCCGAGCCCCTTTTGATGGGGAAGAAGTCACTGTTTCAAGCTGTGCTCTTTATTTGTGCGGGTAAATCCCAGCCCGCCCGCGCACGTGGTTGGCCCTTACAGCTGCGGTGGCATTTAGCTGGGGAGCCTTGAGAGCAGAGTAGCTTTTTGAAGCAGCCAGTATTTATCCAAGTAAAAAASTTTTTGTTTTATTAAAATGAGGCTTTTGCTGTTGAAAGCGAGCTGCAGCGAGTGCTGCTTTGGAGGCTCGYGAACTGTGCCCTGCCGCTTTCATGCTGGTCACACGCTCCTGTGAGTCCCTGTAGGATTAGCTTTAATGACACCACTCCATTATAATAAGGGCAGCAGGGTAAGGCAGYGACTGCACGTGGTTATGGGAGCGACGCCGACATCCGCCTACCTTGGGGTGTGTTAGTGTGAGGCACAGAAGTGCCTGGTTGG